CTCGAACCCATCAACACTAACATCAAACAACGCATCTTGACCTGCAAGACAAAGGATAGCATCACTGATCAGGGACTCCAGCTGGCATTACAGCACACTTCATCCACAGACAAGCACACTCCCCCAATTTGGGACATTCAAGATAATCTACTAGTATTCAGAGGACAAGTCTACACACCAAAAGACACCAAACTTTGACAGGATCTCATCCAGGAAGCCCACAATTCCCCTACCACAGGACACCCTGGGCAATACAAAACTCAGGAAATCCTCCAAAGAACCTATTGGTGGCCCACTCTTGCCCATGATGTCAGTGAATACATCACTGGTTGTGCAACTTGTCAAGAAAACAAAGTCATCACACATAGGAACTCACCGGATCTAGTACCCATCACAACAGAACATCACCTTCCATTCCAATCTATCACCATAGACTTCATCACAGATCTTCCTCAAAGTGACAGCATTGACAGCTGTTTAGTGGTAACCAATTATGACTGTACCAAGGCTTTGGTATTCATACCCTGCAATAAGACAGTTACAGCATCTGAAACAGCCACCCTGTATCAGAATCATGTCTTCCAACAATTCAGGCTACCTGTCAAAGCTATCTCTGACAGAGGACCACAGTTTGCATCATGAATGTTCAGGGAACTATGCACCAAATTAGGCATCAAACAGAACATCTCTAGCGTGTTCCACCCTAAAACTGATAGACAGTCAGAATGTGTCAACCAAGATCTGGAATTGTATCTTCGGATCTTTTGCAATCACCAAGCAACAGACTGGATGTGTTACCTGCCATTGGCAGAATTTGCGCACAACAATAGGTATCATGATGCGATCAAGACATCCCCTTTCCAGGTGCTCATGGGTTACCAACCCTGGCACAATATTCCCACTGTGGGAACAACTGATGCTTCTGATATTGCTTTGAGACTCACTCAGCTAGCACACCTTCACATGGAAATCCAATCCAGCATTCAACTAGCAGAGGAAACAATCAGGAAACACAATAAGGACAAGTTTGTTGAATATACACCCAGACAAAAAGTATGGCTGGAAGCCACTAATCTCAAAGGGCTCCACCCAAAAGCAAAACTTGGTCCGAAATGCTATGGACCCTTCACCATTGATCAGAAGTTGTCATCAGTTGTTTACCACTTGAAACTACTGCCCAAATGGAAGATCCATCCAGTGTTCCATGCAGGACTACTCTATCCTTACTTGGAAACAACAATGCATGGGAAGAATTATCTCTGACCTCCACCGGAACTAATCAAGAACCAGGAGGAGTTCAAAATTGAACGTATCATTGATTCAAAGACAGTCAGCAAGCAAACACTGTACCAAGTATGGTGGAAAGGATATCCAGCCTTGGATGACTCCTGGTTACCAAAATCCAAACTTTCACATGCCAAAGACACTTTGGCAGACTTCCTACAACCAAACAAGGGTGATTCTTTATAAGAGCTACCTTTCCCTATACCTGCAATGGCATCCACCACCATCCTTGCTGCACTCCTCATCCTCACCTGTTTCCTTCTTGCTACCCTCATCCTCATCTCCACCCTCGCCTTCTTCCACTTCAAAGAGACCTACAAGGTAGAGGTCATTCTCACCTGCCAACCAACAACCCCCATCATCAACCAAACCCCTGAGTGGCCTACCGGAGCACAAGTAACATCTCCAATTGAGTTAACCCCTACACCATTTACTGACCTCCTTAGTGGTGAACAAAGTTGCCCCTCTCATCACTGCCACTGTCGTCATCACCAACAACCACCCCCACCTCCTTCTCCTTGCCCTCCTTGGCCTTCTCCTCACCACCATCCTCTCCATCCTTGCCCTCACCCTCATCATCCCACTCACCCTACAGATAGTTATCCAGCATCTAGAATGAGAACACCAGTGGGCTTTCAACATAGCTGCCACTGCACAGCACCCCCTCCAGCCTACCATCACAACAACCCTGGTCATTGCAGCCAATCAAGACAGCAACAACCCAACACAAGTGTACTTTGAGTACATCAGGGAGTGTCAAGATTAGAATCTGGGGAATCTATTTGTCTGTAGTAGTTGGCTTCTGCTATATTCTCTTTCTGGTTTTTTCAAGAAAAATCCTTCTGTGTCTATTCCCTATGCCTGCCGAGCAAAACACTTGCACTAGAAACAACAATGAGACTCCTAACGTGGAGCCACGTCATCGTCCTCTTGCTCCTAGGCACAACAATTCTCCAATGACTGGTTCTCAGAGAGTGCCAACTCCTTACCCTTCCTATCTCCAGACACTAGAAGAACATTTCACAGCTGGAATAATAGAGATGCCAGTTCCTAGGCAACCCATTCTAAGCTTCCCTGCCCAGCAAGAACCTGACAACTCTTCACTAGAATTCCTTGACAAAGGAGGTTTCCACTATCCATTCACACCCCTGCCAAATGTCACTTGTCGACCATTCCTGATCCCAGGACCCCCTGAATCTTCCAACAGCGATGCTATAGTCTTACATCAATTCCCTGGACCACTGGAGGTTCCTCACAATACCTCAGAAGCATCCACTGGATCTTACCACATTGCCCCTGCACAGGTATTCCCATCCTTGTTGCCTATGAACACCTCATCCTCCCCAAACCCTGATAGTCCTCCCACTGCATCTACTGATTCTCCCAATATGCCACATCTTGCCTCTGATGTATCTGACAATGGTAGCCTTGATCACGCCCCTAACCTGCAGCTACTAGCCAATGTCAGTGAGTACATCACAGCATCAGAAGGACACAGCAGTGACCCCCAGGAGTTTGAGGTCTACAGTGATGACATAATCCAGTGCCCCTCTAATGATGTCACTCAATCCTGGCGGTCCATCCCTTTCAACACCTCTACCCCTGTTCAAGATGTCAATCCCTTGGAACGTGTATTACCCCATTTCCCTGGAGCTTACGCCAATTCCGTTACTTGACCTCCTATGGATGTTCCCATCGAGGGAAATCTAGCATTTGGATTACAACGAGTCTTGACAACCACAGCAGATGCACTCCAAACTGCTGAACCTGTAGGAAATTGGGATTCCTTGGACAAAGAATGGGAGGAGGATACTTGGGAGTACCTGCTGACATGAGATAATAATTTGCTGGAAAGTCTTTGGGCATCACTGCAAGACATTCAGGATCCAGGAGTAACCAACAAAGTTGATTGTTTCCAGGCCGTTGATGCAAAAATTGACTTACTCCTCACAGCGCAACAATCCATAGGGGTGGAACTCATTCGCACAGAAGAAGAAATGAGCCAATGTTGAATGCACCTCAAAGCAGCCAATTTGGAGGAATGCCTCGAACAACATGAGTTCTCCATCATCACCCCTCCTTCTAGCACCATGCCTCACCGTCTTCACTTATGTACCAAATGCGAGACTGATGGTCATCTTTGAAGTGAGTGTTGGCATTGGCTATGTTCCTATTGCAGACTCCTGCACCCTCACCATAAATTCCATACCGCCGCCAATGTTCAATGCAGACAACTCCCCTGTCCCACTGACAAACCTGGATATCTACAGGAGCACCATGCTCAATGGAAACTCTGAACGATGAATCTGGAGAGGGGGGTAATGTTACAGCATGAGAGGGGGGTTCTTTTTCTTTTCCTAACTATTTGTTGTTGACCCTGTAACTGTATGACTGATCTCATCACTTGATGTGTTTCACCTACATCAGTGTTTCATATCCATCATGTTTTACTTATATCATGTTTTACTTACATCACATTTTATCTCTATCACATTTCATCCTCATCACTGATATAACCCAGTGAAACCTGTTTCATATACAATCACTGATCCAACTCAGTATTTCATACTTATTAAACCCTATTTGCCCTGCCCTATTTAAGTAGCACTACTTTTGCTACTGTACTTCAGCTTTGTCCTCTTGTTCCCTACATACACTTCATAGGGACAGTTCTCTAGTAATAGACTCAGTTGTCTATTCAAGTCTCAGTTCTAGTCTGAAGCTCTGCTTCAACCAGTATACACTCTCAAACCGCTATCAGATATAGTGCCTCAGTTTACCAGTCTAGTCTAAGTGTAGGACATTAGTGTGTATAAGTCCTAGTAACAGTTCACCAGTTGAACTCCTGATCCTCAGTCATTAGGTCCCTTAACAGTCAGTAAAGGGAGTGGGAATGAGGGATGCTGGAGACATTGCTTGTACTCCATGTGCAGGCCACTCAGGGGTTTTGTTGAGTAGGGGAGTGACAGGACGTCATTTGATGTGAACATTGATGGTGTAGAACTCCTTGAAGAGGAGAATGGTAAAAGCGAGGAGGATGGTAAAGACAGCTAGTAGGAACCAGCTGAAGATGAGCAGTGATGCAAGGAGGGTGATGGATACCATTGAGGGAATTGAGGATGAGTAGTTCTTATAAGGGGACAGTCTTAGTTTGACCAGAGAAAGTCTGTTAAGGCATCCTTTGCATGTGATAATTTAGTTTTTGGTAACCAGGAGTTATCCAAAGCCAGGAATCCTTTCCACCAAACCTGGTACAAGGTTCACTTGCCAACTATTTTGAAGTCAATAATACATTCAATTTCAAACTCCTCCTGGTTCTTGATAAGTTCTGGTGGGGGTCAGAGATAGTTCCTTCCATGCATCATTGTTTCCAAAAAGGGATAGAGTAATCCTGTATGAAACATGGGATGAATCTTCTATTTGGGTGGTAGTTTTAGGCAGTAAACTACCAGTGACAGTTTCTGATCAATGGTGAAGGGACCATAACACTTTGAGCCAAGTTTTGCTTTTGGATGAAGGCCTTTGAGGTTGGTTGCTTCTAACCATACCTTCTGTCCAGGTAAGTACTTGACAAACTTGCCCTTATTTCATTTCTTGACCATTTCTTCTGCTAGTTGAATGCTGGATTGGATTTCCGTGCAGAGGTGTGCTAGCTGTGTAAGTCTAGAAACAATGTCCAGAGAATCAGTTGTTCCCACAGTGGGAATATTATGTTGGGGTTGGTAGCCCATGAGCACTTGGAAGGGTAATGTTCTGATTGTATTATGATACCTATTGTTATGTGCAAATTCTGCCAATAGCAGATGACATGTCCAATCTGTTGCACAGTGATTGCAAAAGATCCAGAGGTATAGTTCCAAGTTTTGATTGACATGTTCTGACTGTCCATCAGTTTGAGGGTGAAATGCACTAGAGATATTCTGTTTGATGCCTAACTTGGTGTATAATTCCCTGAACATTTGTGATGCAAACTGTGGTCCTCTGTTGGAGATAGCTTTGATGGGTAATCCAAACCATTGGAAGACATGATTCTGATACAGGGTAGCTGTCTCAGATGCTGTAACGGTCTTGTTGCAGGATATGAATACCAAAGCTTTGGTACAGTCATGATCAGTTACCACTAGACAGCTGTCAAAGCCATTGCTCTGAGGAAGATCCATGATGAAGTCCATGGTGATGGATTGGAATAGAAGATGGTGTTCTGGTGTGTGATGACCATGTTCTCTTGACAAATTGCACAACCAGTGACATAATCACTGATGTCATGAGCCAGGATAGGCCACCAATAGGTTCTCTGGAGAATCTCTTGTGTTTTGTACTGCCCAGGGTGTCCTGTAGTAGGAGAGTTGTGGGCTTCCTGAATGAGATCTTGCCAAAGTTTGGTATCCTTGGGTATGTAGACTTGTCCTCTGAATACTAATAAGTCGTCCTGGATGTTCCAATCCAGAGGAGTGCACTTGTCTGTGGGTGTGGTATGTTGCAATGTAAGTCAAAGTCTGTGATTGGCAATGTTATCCTTTGTTTTGCAGGTCAAGATGCATTGTCTGATGTCAGTATTGATGGGTTCAAGGTTCTGAATGGCTTGAATGAAGACT